TCCCCCTCTTCTTCTTCCCCCTCTTCTTCGTGCTACTATCCCAAATCCTGGGACTCACTGGGAACGTAGTATCAGTGAAACAGTCTTAATTGTGTGCCTCAGTAGTGTGTGTGAATCCTGGCTAGTGTTAAAAGTGGTTTTTCTTAGTTTGACAGCACAGTAATTTGATAGGGTTTTTTTTAATCTTCTTTGAGAGCATGAGACAAACACTCTGTAGTTCCTCATGCTGCCATAAATCAAATGGTAACTCACACCCAGAGAGTTGAAACATTTCACTTCTATGAAACAGTTCAACCAGTATAGTTGTGAAGAAAGTTTGTAGCAAAGACAATCCTTCCTTCCTTCCTAATTTTTTCTTTTAGAATGTAATGTATATGTATGTGCATGCTTGCATTTTAAAATATTGCTGTACTGTTGCTTTAGTAAATATTTTCAAGAATTTCCTCTAAATCCAAATATCTCGCTCATTGCATTTCCTGGCCCTCTGTTGAACTACTGCAGCTGATGGATGAGCTGAGAAAGAGGCAGCATGTATTAAGACAGTTACTAATATGGACAAAATTGACAAATTCATCTGCTTTTTCACTGAAGCAGTTAGCACTGCCACTTTTCAACAGAGCTCTGGACTAGATGAATGACTGGACCATGAGTGTGGGATAATTATTTTTCTTTAGATCTTAACTGTTCTCAAATGTTTTAACTTCAAATATCCTCCCCAGATAATGGGGTGAGGCTTTGGTAATGATGGAAATAATCACCTTATGAATCAAACTTTCAGCAGAGATTAATTAAGGTAACGTATTTGTACCCTTTCTCTTTAATCGTTAATATGTGGAGTTTTTTCATGTTTTTCTCTGATCCTTCCTGGTGCTGCAATGTGTGAAGTATAGCTAACAGGTGAGGGATCACAACTCCCTTCCAGGTCCAGGCTATGCAAACTCCCTCTAAATACCTAAGCTGTGAGATTGTTTTCCGTATGGTGGAAAGTAATTTCTATTACTGTGTAGTTATTTTCATTTGTGGTCCAGAAGATTTTTGTGAAGTTTTCATCTTTTACACTTACAAATTTAAAGTACCCTAAGGCTTACTTTAGCACTGGTCTGAGAAGCAGAATTTCATGGTCACAGAGAGATTTCCTCCTCTCTGGCAGCCTTTGTCTGCTTCTCTGAACTGTGGCATAGCATAGGAATGTTCTGACTTGATAGGTCAAAGTGTATACTTCAGTGATCCAGGCCTTCTTTCTAAACCTTCAGTTTAATGGTCCAACTCTAATTTTTTTTTGCCAGCTGAGATATGCATTTGAACTACTCTTCTTATTTTGGTGTGGGTTTGTTACTTTTCTTGAGTAATAATTTTTGTATGTAGTAATAGTACTACCTTACTTCCAAGTATTGGAGTTATGTTGTCATGGTGGAATTATTTTTATTAGTATTTTCTTGCCCATGTTAACAAAATAGAAAACACTTTTCTATGGCATCTATTTCTTCCTGATTCTAATCTTGCCCTTGCTGTGAAAGAAGGAACATGTTGCTAATCTTTGAGTGAAAACAAATTCCCATTAATTGGCTGTTCTGAAACAGCATATTCAGTGTTGCATATTGTGGCATCTTTCTTTTAATTGCAAGTTTCATTAATTGTTTTTGTTGTTTATCAGACAGCATTATTGAAGCGTCAGAGTCGATACGTTCATTCAACAGTTCCTGAAAATGCAGAGAAAGAAGCTCAAAGCTTATTTGTAACTGAGGTAATATAGAATTGCATATGGCTGTGTGTAATAGCAATATTGTACCTGAATTGTTTTTCTTCTGCTTTGTTTACATTTGAAAAACAGAAAGAAAAGCCCTGACAAAATACTAAATATTTATTGACATTTACTTGTCAATGATTTCAAGGGAAAATTTCCAGGGAAACCTAATATTTTTTTGATTGATGCCTGGAAAAGGATTAGAGGATAACTTTGAATTATTTTGTTTGTGTAATTGGCTTTTGCAGATGTTTCTCTTCCACCTTCTTTATGCTTTTTAGCTTTTCCAGATGAACATGGGTGATTTCCATACATAATATTGGGAGCAATAGTAAATCAGGATTGAATCATTGTGTCTTGTTTTTCTGGGTAGTGTTTCACACCAGCCATTCTTAGTTTGTTCATGATAATCTTGTACAGTTGGCTGGAACAGGTATTCATAACTGTAACACTTGTAGAGAGCAAAATTTATTATGACTACTCAATTTGTATGCTATATGTAGAAGAAACATCCTCAAACCTGAAGTTTCTCATAACTGCTTGCTTATGTTGGCATTCCCTTGGTTCTGCCTGTGATGTTGTGTTTCATTTAGTGTCTTGTTGAAGCCCTTTTAGGAATGAAAGGTTAAAATTTTTTGTCTTTTTTGTATTGTATACTGGTTTTCTACTGATATACTTTAAGCTGATATTTTAACATCTGAAACAAGCAAATGTCTGTTGTAATTCCAAGAAAACTGAAGGAGCTCCAAACAGCTGAATCTACCTCAAGCCTCAGTGTGATTTATCCACAGTGATACATACCCTTAATACCTAACCTTAACAGTTCTGAGATAAATTTGAAGAAGGTAGACAAGGAGGGAGGAGTGTTATAGGTAATTCATTAAGTTTAATGAGTTTCTGCAGAAACAGTTGCTTGGCAAGTGTTAACTTTGCATTTTGAAATATAAAAAATATCTTTTTGAATTATTAGATGCCATGTTTGTGTACATGTAAGTCTGTGTAACATGTAAAACTTTGTACTGTGTGGTTTCTGGCAACAGATTTTGTCAGTTATATGGTACTTTGGTCAAAGCCAAGATAAATCAGTACTTTCGTGTTATAGCAATATGGGTGGAGTAAAACAGTATTTCCTGTGATCTGGACCAGAGCTTAATGGCATCATTTTTTTTCAACAGCTGCAAGCATGCAGTTCAAATTTAAATTTTAATTATAATTGCACTAGAAATATAAATTCAAGCAAAAATTATTCTAGTTTCCCTATCAGTACGTGTGAAATTGAATATTCTGCTTTAATAATGTATCTGTGTTTTAATGCTGAGTTTTCTAAAGGCTCAGTCGTTTTTTTCAGCTGCAGCGAAATGCTGCTTTAACTTTTCAGACAACTGAAGATGGTTAATCCAGATACTGAGTGTATTCACCATTTTCTGGTTATATGAAATATGCATCTAGCAGATGATAATGTCCTATTGAAACACATAAGTTGCTGCAAAAAGCTGTATTGCAAAAGAAGGGAAGTGTACAGAATTTTCAGAGACCGACATGTAACCATAGTAGTTCATGAACAGCTGTATCTTAAGAGGTTTTTTTTGTGTGTGTGTGTCTAGGGAATGCTTTTAACCCTCTTGCAGTTAATACTTATATTTGGTTTTCATTAAAACAGTGCATCAAAACCTACAATTCAGACTGGCATGTTGTTAACTATAGATATGAAGATTACTCAGGAGAGTTTCGACAGCTTCCAAAGTAAGTCTGCTATCTAGTGGTATAATAAAGATTTTGAATTTGTGAAGGAACTTTAACTGTCTTTAATATAAATGTATTTATTACAGAAATGTATTAATATATGTAATATGTAACCTGGAATATGCTGTATCAGTGTTTAATGGTCAGTAGAGATTACAAACATTTGTTGGATGGAATTTATACTGATGAACTTGAAGGTGTAAAATCTGGTTAAACCATTTTCTGGAAAGATACTGTAATAATGCTGCCTTATTAATAGGCTGGTCAAAGCAAGGAATTCTATCATTGAGAATGTGAATGCAAGTATGATAACTAAAACAGGCTAACGTTTAGATGAAACTGAAATGGTGATATCCTGGTTTTGTAGTTTCAAAAGCAGCTTTTGGAACTCTCTTTAGGAGCATAGGGAATAGAACCTAACCAAGATGGTTAGAGCAAGTGTTTGAACTAGTGCAGATTTTCACAGGATTATTAAAAGCAGAAGCCTAATCTACATCTATTACAGACTTTCTAAACCATCTGCTAGAGGAATCTTTTCCAACTTTTCAAAATTTTGTAGGGATGGTATAGAGATTAGACCCTTAACTTTAAATATCTGAGAATGGATGAATACTCTGAATCCCACAACTCTGGAAGATCTATGTCTTCCCTACCTACTCTCCTGCATCTATCAGTTAAGAAATAGCTTGCCTTCCCTGTGAAAAGTTCTGATATACTCATCGGCTTTTAAAAGCCTGTACCTGGTTTTTGCTTGCCCTGAACAGAAACTGCAACAGTCAAAAGGAATTTAAATAAACTCATTGTCCTAGATGGAGCCAATGGTTGCAGGTGTGAATTCTTGGTCCTAAGATATTAGGAGTGCAGTGAATGAGATGCCTTTTGGTTCTCATCAGTTACACATAAGGACAGTGACAAGCAGAACAAAAGAAAGACTGTAGGCAAATATGCAAATTAGGAAAATTTTTGTCTAGGAAATATATTTAATGAAAAATACATGCTTTTGCTCAGTTATTGTTGTGCTTTTTCTTCTTCCATTTAGGAAAAATAACATCTTTATTTTTGCAGCTATAAAATATGTAACTGATCATAAAATTCCTAGTATTTCAGAAGCTTTTTCTTTCCTAGTAAAGGGACAAAACCTGAGAAGCTTCCAGTTCATTTATATGAAGTGGATGAAGAAGCAGATAAAGATGAGGTGAGATAATAGCAATTCCTTTCTCTTGTTTTCGGTAAAGAATGTTGGGTAAGGACAGGTTACAAGTTGCATTAAGTGTTGATGTCAGTAAATGAAAACAGAGAATAGCTTGAACAGCCTGACTGGGAAACAAATGTAGTTATTTTACCTGTCTCCTTTCAAACAGCCCTGTACTCCAGAGATCTGTCATGTGACTGGAACAAGTTTTGACAGATCATAAAACTATGAATTTTTAATACCTGGCAACATACAATCCTTCAGCTTTCATAAGATCTATTTTATCTTATACTGTTTCTGTGTAGACAAGTATCTAGAGAGAAGTATTTGTTTCGTGCAGCTTAATCATGAAGTTGAGTAAAATAATAGGTGAATCTGTTCTGACGTGACAGTACACACACTTAAGCACACATGACAGTATAGCATACACTGTGAGTTAAAACTAGTTATAGGGTGAGTATAGCATAAGATCTGGAGATTCGTCAGAGAAACAAAAGCTAAAAAAATTGACTAAAAGTTATTTTCTTTTTCGTCATTGGCTTAGGGAAACCAGAGATCTATAGCATCAAGCAATTTTCAAGTATGTTTCAAATGTCAAAGACTTTTTTTCAGTAATTGCTTCTCTTATTTGTACAATGTCTTTAATTTTTAACACACCCTGTTTCAAAACACTGTTTAAATGCCAGTATTTTCTTTTCTTATGAGTACTTGAACTCTTGCATCACAGAAAGGAATTAAAATTATTTTTTTGTGGTTTTTACCCTTTGACAATTGCTTTGCTTCTAAATTCCTTGTATTAAGAACTGCTGCATGTAAAATAAAAGTAGTTCTTTACAAATTTTCCTGGATTAAATGTGAAAAAGTAGTTCATGGACTGCATCTGAATAGGTAGATTCCTGAACAGATAGTAGTCTCGGGATGCCATTTCTCCAGTGCTGCTGTTAATCTGCAGTGTGATATTTGGACAAATAATTTCATGCATCTGTATCCAAATCTTCCTATTTGTAAGATGGGAGTAATTATGATTTCTATTATACTGAAATTAAAAAAAACTTGACATTATTTACTGTGATAATATTTCTGACAACAGAAGTGTTTTAGGGAACAATGTTTAAACATGAAAAAAATTAAATGGAGATATAATTGACTGTGATTGTTAATAGGAAAAATACTTATGGCTAGAGTTAGTTAAACATTGAAAAACTATAGCTTGGCTATTACCAGGTGGTATGTGTTTTACTAGGAAAATAAGTGGAGAGGTCTTCCTGTTTCCTTCTGCCCAGTTTCCTGCTACAGCAGGCAGGGACGTGGTATGTCTTTCAGAGGTACAGTCACTGGAGAAGAGGTCTGCTACTTGTTGAGGAACTTGAAGTATAGACACAAGAAAAAAGCCTGCTAGGAGGAAAAGGGAGCTTAATGGGAGTAGGGTGGGGGGACCATAAATTCTTTCCTCAAGGGAAGAATTAATGCAAGAGGTTTTTTCTTTCAAACATTAACATCGTTGTGTGCCAAAAAGTATATATACAAATCTTAGATTAAAAGTTGTTTGGTCGTCTTTTTGAAACCTGATTTATTGAGAGAATGATGTAAAACAAATCTGCAAGTGATTAAAAATTGGAGGAAAACCAGATATCATTAAAAAGGAGAGAATTACCTTTCCAAAACTAATTTGGGCTATCAGACCATCAGGCTGATGCTTGTAAATGGAATTTTTATATCAGCCTGGGGTATGGGATCAAGATAAGGAATTGTTTTTGTTGAAACAGTTGCTGTTGAAGTAAATTTTGGAGCCGAGTTTGTGGGAAAGATCATTAAAAAAAGTGAGGCACAGTGTGCGGCAGTAATAATAAAAGTGAGGAAATTAACTTACCAGTTGGAAACAGGAAGTATGTTTTCAGTGTAAAAGTTGTGTATTAACAACTGGGTTCTGGGTTCCTTTGTATTAACAGATGGTCAGCTGGAAACATTCAGTAGCTTTTTGGCTCTGTAGGCAGGAATTCTGCCTGACAGAAAAAAATGGTGTAACTAGAAAGGCCTAAATGACAGTCAGTTTTATTGTTAGAAAAAAGCATGCAGCTCAACAGAATTGGGAAACAGTGCACCTCAGAGACTCGTAATGGGAAAAAGGATCTTAATAGAGCTAAACCTTAATTTTTGTTAGCACAGGTAATGAAGGAATTGTTGTCATGTAAGGTGATCCTATGTATGTGTTGTGAAATTGCAGAAAAACCTTGGTTCTTTTGTGCCAAGTAACTCATCCTCTACTCATCATCTTATACTTGTAAAGGTGGTTTTAAACCATCCTTTCCTTGGGGATAACTCCCCCCACCGGAGGGTGAGAACCATAGTTGGAAACCCCGTGTTTTAAGTTGTCTCCGGTTGTTGTACAAGGAAAATGGTTATCTAGGTAATAGAAAGTGGGTGGAGGGTAATGACTTTAAGATATGAAACAAGTAGACTGTATTGCTTGGACAGTGAGACTCACTGGGGCATATGAATGTTTACTGAGTATTTCTGGTCTATGCTTCTGGGGCATTGTATCAGATACAATAGTTGGTGAGCATGTCATCCTTTCTACTTCCATAGTATCAAGCTGACTGGAATTTTTGAAGGAACAGACTGATGTAACTTTTGGCTTCTTTTTACAGTTTTTTGAAGTCCACATATGTGTGTGCATTTGAGTATGCAAGGTAGACAGATTAAGCTGTAAACAAATTAAGTAGTAACTTTTTACAGAATGTTCCTTGATTTTGTTCTAGAAACTAATTTGTATTATTCCAAAATTTGGTTTTAATGTTCGGTTGTTGAACTAATGACTCTGTCCCTCTTACGTAATCACTTTTTGTTGTATGTTCTCTTAATAGCTGAGTAAAGGTATTACAGAAAGTAGTTGAGGCACTTGAAGTTTTGTGGTTTAGTTTTCAGCTGGATTCTCAGCTAATTTTGGATAATAAATTATCAGGAATATTTCTCCTCTAAATAGCTGAAAATCTTCCTACGCATCTAATTCATTAATGTTTTTGTTGTGTCAAAATGGGTTGCGTTGACTGGAAACCGTGGTAAAGTCATAGATATTTTAATATTTATTCTGTGGCAATTATAAATCTGACATTTTGATTGGTTTTGATAGTAAAGTACTTCTTTTTGGTACTTCTTAACATCCGATGGGTTTTGATGTAGTTATTAAGTTCCATCAGCGGACAGATGGGAGTGGTTTGTAGGCAGTGGTTGTGATGTGTGATTGGAACTGCTGTTTGTGAATTTCCCATTACTGCCAAGTCTGGCCTTGTTCTCCTTAAGTAGCTTTGATTCTGATCTGTAAAAGGGCAGATCCAATTCAAGAATTCAAGACTTAGTTCTCTGTAAATTCTGAAGTAATGTCTTTGAAGTAATACATATAAAGCAAAATGGTTTGAGAAATCTTGATTGAAGTTTTAGTTAAAGATGGCTTTATGTTGTTGTTTTTGGTAGTAGAAATTGGTAAAAATTCTTGCACTGGAAGATTAGCATATATGAAAAAGCTTACAAAGTATATGTAAGTAAATGTTCTGAGTTTTGAGTTTTCCCTCTTTCCCCTGTTTCAGTGGGATTTATCTTGATTAATATTTGGCTATCTAGAAGTTGGGTCATCCTGCTGACCATACAGAAAGCCTATATAAGTGGCTAGGTTACCTGTCAAAAGTTAGATGAGGTCAATCTCATCCCTGGTCTTTAAATAAAATAATTGGAATTAGAAAGCTATAGAACTTCAGCAGGGAGTCATAGTACGTTATTATCATTACATTATGAGCCTAGCTATTCTGTCTTTTGAAAATGACTTATGAAATTTTCAATAAATAGAGCAGCTTCAGACTGGGATGCAAAGCTTTACTTTTTTTTTTTTTTTTTTTCCGCTCCCCCCCTTTCTTTCATCTCCAGGATGCAGCATCTCTTGGGTCTCAGAAGGGCGGAATAACAAAACAAGGATGGCTGTACAAAGGCAACATGAACAGTGCAATCAGTGTGACAATGAGAGTAAGTTTAAGAATGTCTTACTCATGGTAAAAACTGAACACCAATGTTAATTATGGCTGTGCTTGTGAGAAGTTAATTTGTACATGGTTTTCTACTAAAACAAAATAGTGTGGGATGACAGAGGGAAGTTTGTATGTAATTTATGTCTGTGAATTCTTTTTATTCTACTTAAATCAGGAAAAATGCGTTAAAAATACAGTATGTGGGAGAGGTCCAGTGTTTTAAATAATTTTCTCAACTGGACCCTGATGTGTTATTAGTAGAAAAGGGACTATGTGATATGAGTTTTTATTTGTATTGCCTCTTTATTTAGAAAAAAACTTGAGTTCTTTTTACTGTTATCATAATAAATACCTATTATGTATAATATCGTAGAGTCAGCTTTAAAGATTTTTTTTCAATGAGTCACAAATGCCTTCAAATAATATAGTACAATCTTGCCGCAGGTTTTTTAGTTAAATTTTTTAAATTTTTTTTGGTAAATTAACGATTTCTGAGGATACTAATTAGGTTATGCATAAAGAAAAGCTTTTTCTTGTAACCTACTGTGTAAAGAGCACTTATAGGTTTTGGAATATGAAGCTGATTAATACTAGTGTTGTAATTATTTTTCTTCCTTTCTTTTCACTAGTCGTTTAAAAGAAGATTTTTCCACTTAATCCAACTTGGTGATGGATCCTATAATCTCAATTTCTACAAAGATGAAAAAATATCAAAAGAACCTAAAGGATCAATATTTCTGGATTCATGCATGGGAGTGGTCCAGGTAATTATAATTACTCTGCCTGTTCTCCAGTTAATTCTGTATTGATAGCAAATGGATTTTTTTTTTTTAATGGAGGTAACTTCTGTCAGATGTAGATAAGTACCTATTATGCAGAGGAACAGACAGGCTGCACCTTGCAAAAACAGTGAATGAGGTTTTAAAGGTCAGGAGGCTGAATTTAAAAAATCTTTCTTTTCAGAACATAAAACGCTAGTTGATGTCAAGTATTTATCAAAAATATTTTAAAAATAATTAAGGCAGACACACAAAAAACCCCAACCTTAAATCATGGCAAAGTAATGACAGCATAAAATTAAAGTTCATTTCAGTTACATTTTGTGCTTACATGAGCTGTAAAATGTTTTACATAGCTTCTTGTGTGGGATTTTTTTGTGGGAATTGTATTAAATTCAGTCACCCTTCTAGATGCTTTCATTTGACCTTTATAATGTTTCTTTTATGTGATTTTCTTTATTTTAAAAAGTTAAGGGCTCTGGCAAAATGTTTGTCGGTAGCAAGTGCCAAAGAAAAGATTTTTTTTTTTTCTTGTGATTCTGTTAGGTATTTATAATACAGCATATAACTGTTTTGTTAGGCACAGCAAACCTGGAAAAAACTCGTGGGTTTTAGAGTTTTGTTAACTTGGATAGAAATTGACAACGTTTAATAAAAATTTATTTCTTAATATATTTTTTTTTTAGTATAAAGTTGTTTGAAGGTTTATACAGGCAGATATAAAAGCCATACAGAAGATTATTTTTTTCCAAATATTGTAATTGTGTTTTTGTATACACATTTAATAGATACTTCACATGGCAAGTCTTATACCGATAATAAATTCAATCATATTGCAAGTTCTATGTACAGATTTACACAAATTGTTTTGCCTTAGGGGTACAATTTTGGCCAACTCCCCTGGAATGAGTTTGATTTGTGTTTTTAAAATGAACCAACAAAAAAAAAAAAAGGGGTTCCTAAACACAGTTGTAGTCTTTGTCTTGCACTTAAAATCTATCTTTCCTTCTGCTACTCAGCTTCCTCTGATGTGGCACCCCTCTCTCTGATAATATATATATTCTCCATCTTCTGGACTCTTTCTTGCCCCTTCTGTTTCCCACTTAGCACCACAATATTAGTTTACGTCATCAGAAAACACTAAAATTTTCAGAAGTTACAAATGAAAGAAAGGCACTGCAGCAAAGGGAAGTGCTAAGTCTTGCAGCTGGGGAGAACAGCCTCAGGAGCCAGGATAGCTACCTGTCTGGAAAGCAGCTTGGCAGAAAAGGACCTGGTGGTTCCAGTGGACACCAAGTTGAACATGAGCCAGCAATGTGCCCTTGCTGCAAAGAAAGCTAGTGGTGTCCTGGGCTGCATTAGGCGGAGTGTTGTCAGCAGTTTGGGGGAGGTGATCCTTCCCCTCTGAACAGCTGAATAGCCTTGGTGAGGCCACATCTGTAGTCCTGTGTCCTGTTCTGGACTCCCCAGTAAAAGAGAGACATGGACATACTGGAGAAAGTCCATCGAAGAGCTATGAAGATGATGAAGGGATGGAGGATAGAGCGTCTCTCCTATGAGCAGAGGGAGAGAGCTGGGACTGTTCAGCCTGGAGCAGAGAAGGCTCAGGGGGATCTCATCAATGTTTGTAAGTACCTGCAGGAAGGCTAGAAAGAGGAGGGAGCCAGGCTCTGCTCAGTGGTGCCCAGTGACAGTACCAGAGGTGATGGGCACAAACTGAAGTACAGGAGGTTCCCTCTAAACATCAGGCAACACTTTTTCACTGTGAGGGTGACCGAGAACCGGCACAGGTTGCACAGGGAGGTTGTGGAGTCTCCATCCTTGGTAATATTCAAAAGCTGCCTGGACATGGTCCTGCGCAACTGGCTCTGGGTGGCCCAGCTTGAGCAGGGAGGTTGGACTAGATGACCTCCAGAGGCCCCTTCCAACCTCTATCAATGCTGTGTTTCTATATTTTTGGGTTTTTTTAATCCTGAAAATTCATTTTTTTTCTAAATCATCTTCTCACTAAGTACTCTTCCATCAGTTCAGTTCAAGTAACCTGAAAGTTCCCTCAGATTCTGTCAGCAGCTTTTTTTTTTTTTAATTACTGTGACTTTGCTCTACTGCAAGTAAGATTTTGTGCTGATACAGTAGTCTTTAAGTAAAACTGTACTTCAGATGCTTAAAGTTTATGGTTGGCTTGTGTCTTGAACGCTATACTGTATTCTGCAGTACCATCAGTGTTCATCTTGACATCTGGATGTTCAGAACTGCATGTGGGAAATTGAGAATAGTTATGGATCAACATCACGTGCTAGACCAAAATCAGTTAATGCTTATTTCTATAAAGCCAGGAAGTCACTTAATAGCTAGAATAAAGGGGTTTGGAAATAGCTGTTTTCTTCACTTGAATTGTTGGTGAGGGGAAAGTAAATGAGATTTTGAACTATAAAGTATTATACATAATGGCCCTATTCCAGATGTGTGATTTTATTATTTTATATTATGTACTGTATCCTCTCTGGATGATTTTATTTTATTCATTTTTTTTTCTGTTACTAATTATTGGTTTTGTATTAGAATCTAGAAACTCATATAGGAAAAAAGTGGTCTCTACACAGCAGAAATTCCATTTCCATTTAATGGAAGAGGAAAATAAAGTCAACCCACCCACTGTACTTAGCAGTAGTCTGACTTGGAATTCATAGAAATGGTTGTTCTTTTTAGGTAGGCTTGTTTACAAGCTTTTGTTCTCAGAATCAAACTACTTATTTCAGAGTAAGTCTTTTTGGTGAAAGGAGTTTAGTTCCTATTGCATTCGTATGACATTTCTCATTTCTGTTCTGAGTTCGTTTAGTACATATGTTTACTTATTTTTCAAAGGCAGTAGATGCACAAGGGAGAAAAAAATACTGACTTCACTAACAGACATTAAAGATAAAGCAGGATAGAGCAGGATATGTTCCTTCATCAGTACTTGTATAAGAGGAATGCTGAATATGTGCAATACTGGTTTTGGGGTTTTTTTGGTGGTGGTGGTGGTTTTTTATCTTTCGGTTTTGTTGTGGGGTTTTGGTTGGGTTTGGGTTTTTTCCAAAACTTAAATGAAAAGACAGGAATTCCTGAAATACTGTTTTGAGGTTTTTGTTTGGTTGGTTTTGTTTTGTTGGGGTTTTTGTTTTGTTTTAATACTGAAGTATATTGAGATTTTTCTGCATCACAGAGAAGTGCAGTCACATAATATATGCAGTATATATATTCACACATACAGTCATACATATAGGCATAGTTGCTCTAATTCAGTGATTTGTGAAAACTGAGAAGTGTGATATGTACCACATGTCATTGTTTAATACTGTGAAAGTTAAAGGTTACTGTTCTTAAGATATTTTGTTTACTTAAGTACCAATTTTGATTGGTAAGACTGCCTTAGATCTGGAGTCCATACATTTGTTTGTATTCTCCTTAACAGAAACTCATCTTTGGTAGAAAGGTGACTTTTATCAACCAGTGTTTAGTCTGTTAATTGAAAAATCTGAGGTATAGTGAAACTAAATGTAATTTGGCATTTAATTTGACTTAAACAAACAAATCCCCCAACCATTAAGTCTGTCTTATTGTTTATTTTAGTGTTATCTAATTAATTATTGGTTTTTTACGTTAAATTGATTATAATATAGAATTTTCATTTAAACATTATGAATTCATTCCCAGGGATATGAATCAAGCTAGGTAGCATTTGAACGCTTGATTTAAATGGTGGAAAAAGAATGACAATAATGGTTGAGGAACAAAGGAGGAATTGATTTTCAACTTCATGTATGTTTAAAAGACTAGAAATATCAGCGCATTCAGGGCTGAGGTTGGTTGTGATTCAATCTCTGATATAAAATCCCAACGTGTGAATGATTCTCACTCAAATATTAATAGTTTCATGGGGTTTTTTATCAGTATATCTTAGTTAGCTTCACTCCTAGATGATCTGAGTACATGGAGACTTGATATTTGGAAACTGGATTTTTTGATTTTTTAAAAACGATTGCAAGCAGAATGATGAGGGGAAACTGGAAACCGGGCTGTTATCTTTCATACTTCCTCTTGTTGCAGTGGTACAAATAACTTCAAAAGGTCAAATGCCAGAGAGAAAAAAGTGTAATTATAATACGCATGTTCAAAATGTCAAACTGTACGTTTTTCTTAAAAGATCTGAAATACATATAACTTCCTTTGATTGTGAGTAGGCAGTATGTAAAGATATTATAAAGGTCTTTTGTTTTCTTACAGAACAATAAAGTCAGACGCTTTGCCTTTGAGCTCAAGATGCAAGACAAGAGTAGTTACCTTTTAGCTGCAGATAGTGAACTTGAAATGGAAGAATGGATAAACACCCTGAACAAAATCCTTCAGCTTAATTTTGAGGCTGCAATGCAAGAAAAAAGAAATGGAGAGTCTCATGAAGGTAAGCAGGGTTTCTAGCAATGCTGATACAGTTATGTGATGATATGTATGTACACGCATTTGGAAAGAAATACTTTATTGTGGCAACATTTTTTTTTTGTTCGTTTTCTTTGGTCGTAAAATTATAGGCTTTTTCACTGACTGTTTGAAGTGATGAGAGTTTTGTCCTTTTGGAATTAAAATAGCACTGTTCTGTATTGATTCTGACTGAGTTAAGTCCAGAAGAGAATAATGAGACTAATCAGAAGTCTAGAAAAATAGAACCCACAGTGAAAAATCAGGACTTGTTTTGAAATGTGTAAAATGCTCCTGAAAATAGAATAATCTGTTTTCTGGTGACTGTAGGTAGAAGAATAAGAAATTGTGGTTGCAGTGAGGGACTTGAGTATAGATGTTACTCACTTGACCACAAAGTACTGAAATACTGACCCTAAAGCACTGAAATTGGTTGCTTGGGTATAGCATCTTTTCTGTTTAAGCCCTTTAAGAATAGGTAAGGCAGATATCTGGAAGGAATATAATGGTTTAGTAATAATAAATGAGGTTTAGTTGATAGTCTGGTGACAAAAAGCATAGTCTAGATGAACTCTAGTGCATTTTTCCTCTTGAGAATGGATGGGGAGGGCAACTGGTATGAGAGCGAGTGTATGCATATCCAGAAGAACCTGAAAGAGGTTATAGAAGGTTGTTCTGCTTATAAATAGCCCAATATACCAAAAGGGATACATTAGAGTTTAAAATTAGATATTGCGGTCTTTGTCAAAGATTGCTGGAATTTAACATGATGTTTGCAACAAAAGCAAATTGGAAGAAGGGAAACCTGTAGCTCTGTGAAAGACGTTTTAGTCAGTGGTCCCCAAGTGACCTTAGAAATGTAAGATGCTTATAGCTAACTGAATGATTGCTTTTTTGAATCCAGTAACTGTTGGAGAGGACATCTGGGAACATAATGAACAGAAGGAACTTGTTTTGAAAGCAAGTTGCAAGGCATAGTGGAAAGAATAATATAAGTTTGTGAATTGAGTATCCCTTTACCCCATGCAGATATAAAAATTAATATTAAAGCTATTTTCTAGGTAAGATTAGAAATAACTGTTACTTTACTAATTTATGTAACTGGTTACAACTTCCAAGAAGTCACTGCATCAAAATGAAATGGTAAAGTCATTCACAACCTGTTAATGTTAACAATGGTCATTTTTTGAGGTGGTATGAATTTAAAAAAAGCAAAGAAAACAAAAAACCCCACCAAAAAAACCCAGATATTTTTACTATGTAGTTTTATGAGTGGTTTGGGTTTTTTTTGTTAGTTTGTTTGTGGTTTTTTAATTTTTTAAATGTGGTTTTATAATTTCAGATGATGAACAAAGCAAAATGGAAAGCTCATCAAGTAGTTTTGATAACTACTATCCTGAAATTGCCAAGGTAATATGTAGTGTAAATGACAACTTGGGATAGAAAGTACTAAACATAGGTTAACCACGTGAACTTTCAGTAAAGGTAAGGTATTGGATTCTAGCTTCCAGTCAGTTTGTGATGCTTTGAAAGCATAGAAGCTCTTTTGTTAATAGATATTACTGAGCTTCTTCATTTTCGGCTTTTGGAAGCAAACTAGCTATTTGCTGATGATACCAAATTGAGTGGGTGTGTTGATCTCCTTGACAGTAGGAAGGCTTTGCAGAGGGATCTGGATGGGCTGGACCGATGGGCTGAGGCCAATTGTATGAGGTTCAATAAAGCCAAGGGCCAGGTCCTGCACTTTGGTCACAACAACCCCCTGCAGCACTACAGGCTCGGGGGAGAGTGGCTGGAAAGCTGCCCAGCAGAGAGGGACCTGGGGGTGCTGGTCGACAGCCGGCTGAACGTGAGCCAGCAGTGTGCCCAGGTGGCCAAGAAGGCCAACAGCATCCTGGCCTGCATCAGAAATAGTGTGGCCAGCAGAACTAGGGAAGTGATTGTGCCCCTGTACTCAGCACTGGTGAGGCTGCACATTGAATCCGGTGTTCAGTTTTGGGCCCCTCACCACAAGAAGGACATTGAGGTGCTGGAGCAGGTCCAGAGAAGGGCAGCGAAGCTGGTGAAGGGTCTGGAGCACAGGTCTTATGAGGAGCGTCTGAGGGAGCTGGGGTGGTTTAGTTTAGAGAAGAGGAGGCTAAGAGGAGACCTTATCACTCTCTACAACTACCTGAAAGGAGGTTGTAGTGAGGTGGGTGCTGGCCTCTTCTCTAAAGTAACAAGTGATAGGAAGAGAGAAAACAGCCTCAAGTTGTGCCAGGGGAGGTTTAGGCTAGATATTAGAAAAAAATTCTTCACTGAAAAAGTGATCAGGCATTGGAACAGGCTGCCCAGGGAAGTGGTGGAGTCACCATCCCTGGAGGTGTTCAAGAATCGTGTAGACGTGGTGCTTAGGGACATGGTTTAGTGAGTTAGGTGGTGTTGGGTTGACGGTTGGACTTGATCCTTGAGGTCTTTTTCCAACCTTAATGATTCTGTGGTTCTATACTGTCTTAAAGTTGCTTATATAAATCTTGACATGCTATTTAAAAGATGCATGTTTTATTGTTTTGTTATTGTGTTTGCATATTTTGTACTGTTTTATTGTATGCAGGTAAGTGCTAAAGTATTTCTATAGAAATCTAGTTATACTACAGTCGAGTTTTATTTTTATAGCTAGAAGTCCAGAGGAGCTTAATAGCAGTGATGTGAATGTATTTAAGGTGCTTGTGTTTGTAATAAGCTGACAAGTTCATGGATGCTTCCTGTATTGCCATAGTTCTTGCCTTTCAATTTTATCCTTACAGAGGTGTGGTAGAAATAGAAATAAGAATAAAATAAAATAGAAATAAATAGAAAATAACAGTAGCTCTTCCTCAGCCCATCTGTAGACTTTATTTCAGGTAAATTGGTGACTTGTGTGTTGCAATAAGTTTTGTGCATTCTCTAAGGGAGAAATTATTCTTGAATCCCCTAAGGGCTGGAGCTGGTGACCTTTTTCTACTGAAGCTGCAGAACCCAAACTCTTCCTTGTGCCATCATTCCTCTTTCTTCTGTGTGGCACAGCCTGCAGTCTTGAAACTTTTCTGCTTGACCATGCTCTGGAGTGCTCTCCTTTTCTGAGGATCTGTCTGGCTCCTGAAGGGAATGCAATTTAGAAACTGAGAAAAAGCAGTAAAACAAATTCTATTACAAGAGCTAATGTATCAAAAGATCCAGTCAGAATACATTAACAGGCATTTAGCACCCGAATTGGTTGGCTGACTTAATTCTTTCTGTTACTGCTTCATAATCAACTTAGCACATGTACACAAAAAGCTATTATGTGATAAACCAACACCAGCTACAGCTGTGTTTAGAAATTAATTGGGGTTGTGGTGTGTACAATTAAGTTTTCCTCAAAAGATCTGTAACCATCTAACAGCATACTTACATGAGGCTATGAAAATTTATTTCAGAAACAAATATAAAATTAGCTTGTCTTACTGTATGGAAGGTTTTTCTTTCTTTATAGTCAGAGTTATTGGAATGCTTAGGTTCCCTATGACTTCCAGAGGGGACTTTTATTCAGGGTTGCAGTACTTGTGTATAGTTTTAGTACTACAAATGCTGCTTCCTGTTTCCATAACCTTTTAATCGGAAGCATGCAGCTGGGTATTTTTCTAGCATGTTATTTTTCTCAGCTCTTTAAGCACTGACTTTGTTTATTCCATGGTTATAACCCATTTAGATTTCTGTTTCCTTCCAATTAAGTTTTTCAGTTTTCCCATTCTAGCTAATCTTTACTAAACACTATCTTTTTGAAAATAATTTGCTCTACTGTATTTTTCTAGCCTTTTTTCCCTGAGGAGAAGCACAGGGAAAAATCTGCCTGTTTGCATTCGTACACTGTTTGTGCCTTAACTTGATTACTTTTATATAAATGCTCTTTGTTTTGAGGATTTTTTTTTGTCCTCTCTTCTTTTTTGCATTTTCTTTTCAGCTGTTGCTTGGGTTTGCGTTTGGTTCTTTTTTCCCCCCAGTGGAAGACTTACAAGGCACTGAGCGTTCTTTTAGAAGAGTTTATAGCTGCTCTATTATTTTTGTTGGTTCTGGGAGGAGATTTTCACAATAGCTGACCTCATATCCTTATGAGGAAAGAGCAATTCCTTCAGGGGTGATTGAAGAGCACCTGACAATAGGGGAGAAAAAAGTCTTCCTAGGAAAGGTTTAACTGTTGTGAGTACATCTCAGCCTTTCTTTTTTCTATCGACATCTGTTAGTTCATAACATACACTAAATAAGATAGTACTGTGTGCTGATGTGCACATATATTTCAGTCTATCTGTTCTGCCTACTTCATGTTCCTCTTATCTGTAACTTAAGTACCATGAGTGAATGTAGGGTATTTGTTGTTTTGTTGTTTTCTAATCTTCAGAGAAAACAAATTAGACCTCTGTCTTTAAATAACCATGTCAATGTCATGATCGGTGTGCCCAAGTGCCTCCTTAACTGTTATGGGTGGGACCTTCAGGTAGGGAAACTGTCCCTGTTTTACAGGTGAGGAAATGGAATTACAGAGTCACTGCTGCGCTGTAGGCAGGGTCAATGACTACTTACGTTTTCGGTTCTTGACTTCTGATCGACTGCCCCTGATCCATCAGTCAGAAATGCATATTTTTGTCTTGCCTTGTCTTTGATACACAAAATGCCAAAGAATCTAAAACTATTCAAGATGCTTTAGCTGAAACAGTTTCTGTCCTGCTCCTATGACTAGCTCATCTTCTTCTTCAGTTCTTGCCAATGACTATTCCCTTTCCAAAACAAAAATGCACCCTTCTTGCCATCATTAAACTTCTTCAGTTCAGTTCTGTACTCCACAATCGTACCAGCTGTTGAACAAGCAAAGTCTGCCAATACTCTGCTGGTATTGAGTGTCTGGGTCATGTCTTTCACAGCGATTCTTGTCCTTTTCTCCTGTGTGTGTTTAAGATAATGAGGTAAAGTAAATTAAATCCACTAGAGCATCTATACTCAAAATCTGACCTCAGAAGTTCCTCTTCCGTAATGCCTCCTTTAAGTCAAATTATTTTATTATTTTCAACCTAAAATAGGATTTTGAGCTCTTAGAGATTATGTGCTTGGGGTTTTTTTTGGTTGGTTTTTTGTTTTGTGTTTTGTTTTTTTTGTTTTTTTTTTTTGAGAAAGTAGGAGTTTCTTCAATCTCCAGCAAAGCCAGTGTAGACAGCAGATCACTTCAAGCTGATGGTCAGTGATGCACATTGTGGGTTGGTAACTTCTTTCAATCCATACAGTCTGATCCAAAAATAGACACTTGTCTGTAATGTAATACTTTGTATCCCTGTTTAGCCAGCTACTACTTTGGGAATGGCAAGTCTCCTACATGGGTAATTTTGGTGCATGCATATGTCAACTTGTCATGTCCTGTGACTTTAAAAATCATAGAATACTCTTTAAACAGTACCTTTTTTTTAAAAAAAAAAAAAAGTAACCCATGTATATCACCAGTTTTCACATTCAATTTTGTTCCACTTCACTTTCGTTTTACTGTTAATAGGCTGGTATCCATAAAACCCAGGATCAGTGTACAGTGTACTCTGCAAAGTAACTCTTAAGTGTGAGGGGTTTACATTTCGGATTTTTTTTTGTTTTTTTCCATCTAGCCACAGGAAAACCACTTTGTCAGTAGAGCTCAAGAAAAGGAAAAAAAAAAAAGAAAAAAAAGAAAAAAAAAAAGAAAGAGAAAAAGAGAAAAGAAAGAGAGCTATGATGGTGTTTCTTAATTTAGGTAACCTGTTGTTTCCTGAGCAGTCTTATGCTCTCAGGATAGCTCTGGGCTTTAACCTATATTCATACTTTTTTAAAATTAAATAGTGTTATGAAAGTGATTGTTTAAGGAGCCAAAGTACTATATGAGCTACACTGGAGTATACTTCCCATGAGTTTGGAAGGTTACATATTGTGGTTATAAGTTTTTGTGTTTCTAGGACCTGGAAAACCCTTTAGAGGAGAGGAGTCTTTTCTCACTTTTTACTTAGACACAATGGAGCAATTTAAACTGAGGAGTTGCAAAGTGTGGTTAGGGAGAGAAGAGTGCATGAATTAAAAACAAGTAAAGCTGCGCATATCACAGAAAAATGAATGAAATTGAAAACCCTTTTAATTGTGTGATACTGAGACTTTTTTTCTTACTTTGTACAGAGTACAAGAGAAGCAGAAATCAAGTTGAAAAGTGAAAGCAGAGTTAAACTTTTTGCCTTGGATCCGGATGCCCAGGTTAGACTTTTTACAAGGGAAGCATGTTATTTTATGTTGATCCTTTTGAGGTGAAAAACAACTTACCTTAATTTTCCTTTTCTCTTTTTAAAGAAACTTGACTTTTCTGGTATTGAACCAGAAGTGAAGCCGTTTGAAGAGAAATTTGGAAAAAAAATTCTTGTGAAGTGTAACGATTTATCTTTCAATTTGCAAAGCTGTGTTGCAGAAAATGAAGAAGGACCAACAACAAATGTAAATAATTCATCTAACTATATTCTGTTGCTATGGTAATGAATAACTTAATATTTTGTTGGCACTGTTCTTAATGGCAGGAGTTCCTTGCTGTTATTGAGAAACTTGTGAGGTTTTTTTCTACTCCCTTCAATCAAAATAAGAGGCCAAGTCCTGTGAGAAGTAACTTTGCTACTAATCTTTTTGTTGTGTTGTAGAAAGTGGAATATTTCTTTTACTGCCTTTTACATCTTGTCAGTAATATCTAGAGTGATGGCTCTGTGTGTTTATAAAAATGTTACTTATCTTCCTTTCATACACATTTTTACAGTAATATAGATGCCAGCAATGACACTTGACTCTTTTTTTTAAATGTCTAGGTAGAACCTTTCTTTGTCACGTTATCACTATTTGATATCAAAAACAACCGGAAGATTTCAGCAGATTTCCATGTTGATTTGAACCACACCTCAGTAAGGCACATGATATTCAATGCATCTCAACAAGTGATGAATGGCAGTGGTGATAGCTTGCACAGAATTCAAGACGTTCATGAGACTGTGTTACAATATCCAAAGCAGGTAAAGAATTATCAGGAGTTTGGATGCAAGTACAGAGTTTTCCTACATGCTTTGGATGGCTTTTTCTTGTGTGATGTGAAATGTGTGTACATTTGCATTTTATATTTATCTCTTGTTTTATTTCTAGGGAATTTTCTCAGTCACATGTCCTCATACGGACATTTTTCTCGTGGCTAGAATAGAAAAAGTATTACAGGGAAGTATTACATTGAACCGTATATGAAAAGTTCAGATTCTTCAAAGGTATGTTATCTTCTGCAGCACGGAAAAAATGCTGAGGCAAGACAGGTTGATTTCAAGTTAATAAATATAAATCAGAAGCTTAGTTCTTTTATAGGAAATTCAGATAACTGGATGATTTGATTTAGTAAGTTGTAATTATTACTGGTAACTATTATTAATTGAAATGTTGTAGGTGAAGTCTGACATATTATTGGGAAACCTTTAGCTTTTTATAATTGTGACATAATCTATAATGTTTATAATGGCTTTAAATAAACTAATTTGATAAAAGAGTATTATACTTTCATGTGAAAGTTGAGTTGAAAATTGTTGAACAATGAAATATTAAATATAGCTCAGAAATTAACTGTACGTCTCTTAGTTAATGCATCTTATTCACTGTGTCATTGTTGACTTTTCCTTTGTCTCACTTCTTGGTAACCATATTTTACTGTAAATTTATCTTGCTGTTTTTTCCTTCAGAACCATTGAGATCATTAAGCCTCTGTTTTTATGTATAAAAAGCTTTTCAGATTTGATAGAACTCCAAGTCACTTCTGGAAATAAACCACTGAAATGTCTTAATCTAGGATTACATAACATTTTAATGTTTTCTGAAACATATCTACAAGAAGCTTTGTCAATTGCTGCTTCTTGTTTGTCGCTGAAGAAATAGAGTTTTGATTTTGTTGATTTACAGTTGTGCTTAAATAGTTGGACCAGGATACTAGAAGAAAAGGTTTTTTGTAAGCAATGTCAGCTACTGTTGACATTCTTCCTGTTTTCAGCTAGTGAAAGGGAAGAAGGAAGGGTTAACTTTCAGTCCCTGCAGAAGAACAGTGTTCTTTCCTGCTAATTTAATGCTGGCCAAGCTACACTAAAAGACCTGTATTTTTCACTTGGTCTTACTATAGATCAGACTACTGATTTGCTTTTCCAGGAATACCTGAAATTTTTTTCAGCTATCATTGGAAAACAGCAATTTTGTGTTTTAGGAGTCTGGTTTTGAAGTGTATTCTGACTGTTACTGCGCTAGAACAAAACTGAACTGAGTAACTGATTTTGGTGGTTTTGGGCCTGGGCCACACAGAAAAGGTTAAGTAAGCCCAAGTGTTCCCAAATTTGATACTGAGTGCTAGGCTTGTGTTACCCTATCTGTTGTTGTATTAATTTATGCTGTGCATTTCTGGTATTCATTTGCTTATTATAATTTTATGCAGTTGAACACTTAGTTTGAATTTTTTTCTGTTGTTCTTCTCTGGGATTACACCATATTAATTTGAAACAAAGCAGAACAGTACCAGCTATGTAGGCCTCCATGTGTGTCAGTGCAACAAGCAAGTTCCAGTTCCCTCGAGCTACCACTCTGGACAAGAAAAAAGGCAGATGGAAGTTGCAAATTCTATAGCCAAGAGAGCACTTTTTCTCCCCTTAAGTATTGAATGCAGGGAATTCATGATGATTACTTATCAAGACTCTATGCATCTTAGTGCAATTTCCCCCTTTTTATGGGAAAGGGTAATGGCTTAAACAACACACTGATAGAAACAGCTCTTCATAGTGTCAATGGCATAGATCAGCAAAAATGTTCAGGCAGGTTTACTCTGTTTTTTTGCTCTGGCAAATAATTTTGCTCTGTGTAGGCACACAGAAGAAGCTGGTTTCTGGAAAAGAGAATCCTACTGCTCTGTCAGGAGCTTCTGCTTTCGCTCAAGTGGTTCAGCTCGATGTTGAACGTCTCAAACTAGTGGTTTTCTATCTCTGATTGTTATACATATTGGTTCAATATAATGAAATTGTTTGTTTGCTTAGAAGTTACCAAAACTGAAAATTTGAAGTTTTAATTAAAACAGTGTTGCAGTGTTCATACATAGGATTGTTCATGTGATATTCATATAGCTCCTGCCCATATTCTGCGTGTACTTGTAATACAAGTATTCCAGAGTATACTCTGCAGGAATGTTTTCTGGTACATAAAGTGGGTGATGAATAGGGGAGCAAGTGTTGGGGAGAACATTTTTATCTGGAGTCACAATTATGTCTTAAAACCAGTTGAATTTTGCGCTAGCTTTTGTATGAGTTCTGCATATATTAATTTTGTTTTTTGCTGAATGAAATATGTATTATCAGGAGTGTAAATGGGTCTGTGTTTTCACCCGTAAAATGCTGTGAAATCAGCAGGTCCTGCTTAACCTGAAATGAATTGTTAGAGGTATTTTCATTTGTCTTTCACTTGCATACTTGGGATTAATCTTCTAAAGAAGATTTTCACATTCGTATCAGTGTCAATATGTGTTTCGGTTTTGTTTTTTTTTTTTTTAAATTTTGTACTAACAGTGCAAAAAAAGTAGCTTTAAAAACGTGGCTATTTCTTATGGTCCTTGCAGGTTGCACAGAAAGTTTTGAAGAATGCTAAGCAGGCATGCCAGAGATTAGGTCAATATAGAATGCCTTTTGCCTGGGCAGCTAGGTAAGGACAGATCTTGTCGATCTGTATTTTTTCCTAACTTTTCTTTAACATTATTTTCTGCATCTCACTTCTTGTAAAACTTAATGTGCTGTTAAAATTATTTCTTGTTTTACTTTCAATTAACCAGAAAATTCTGACAAATGAGATTATACTTCAACTCTGTAGTAGGAAAAAAAAATATTCATTGTATTATTATTCAAACCATTGAATATTACCAACTGTTTTCTGTTGTCAATATTTTTTATTTTAAAATTGATTTATTAGACTGAGCTATTTATATGTTAAAACTCACCTACAATGGTAAGAGTATTAAATGCTTAATATGAAGGAATGGTGCAGTATGTTCTAATTTGTAGTAAAGAATTTTCCTGAAGTGAATTCCAACACTTTCATAAACTCAGCTGAAAGCAAGATTTTGACTTTCAGGACAGTCTTTAAAGATGCCTCAGGAACCCTGGACAAAAATGCAAGATTTTCTCCTCTCTTCAGACAAGACAGTAACAAACTTACAAATGAAGACATGCTGAAATTGTTAGCAGATTTCAGGAAGTAAGTCTAATTCCACTCTCCTCCTCCCCCCCCCCCCAAAAAAAAAAACCCCAAACCAAAAAAGACCCCAAAAAACCAAAACCACAACAACCACAGCAAAACAAAAACAAACAACCAAAGAAACCCAAACCTAACCACTCCCCCCTCCCCCCCAAAAAAACAAATAAACCAACCACACTGTAACCCCCCCACCTCACCCTGCCCCCAAGCCCCTAACATTTTTTGTTATGGTCTTGAACTGGAGCATCTAATCTTTTGATGTATGTATTTATATGTTTTTCACTTGAAATATAATCAAGGCCTTTGTATAAGCTACTTTCCTTTGCAGCAGGACTGAAGCATGCCATGTCTGACATGTAGCTCTGTGTTAGGAGTTATGCTTGCACAACACACTCTTCTGGTTCTCAGAGAACAAGTATGAGCATAAGTCATATGTTCACTGACTTTGGACAGAGAATGCTAGCTCTCAGGGAAAGGGATTCAAGCTAGTATCCAGCCCACCTTCCTTGGGAATGCATGTGGCTCAGGATGCCTAAATGGCAGAGCATTGGTCATCCTTTTTTACGAAGTATTCCTAAAGACTGCATCAGTTTGTGTGCAAAGTTTAAGAACTTCCATCCTGACAGATGACACTATTAATAAGCTAATTTCAATCTGCTTTCTTATTGAAATAGGATGTAAAAAAATAGAGCAATCTTTGCTGCTTCACAGAGGCATTTCTACTTCTGTTATGGTACAGTTAGCTGGAGTTGTGTTAATTTAAACAATCACTAATCGCAAAAGTCTTGGGCTATAGTTTCTTTACTTTGTCCTTTCTTACCAAATCTGATAAGGAGATGAGGTTTGTAATAGATATTTTAATTCCATTTTAGCAAGCTGCTTAAAGTTTAATTGAAGTTTACGAAGTGTTGAAATTGCCATGTACTGATAGATCTTGCCATAAACAATATTATTGAAACTGAAACTAATATGGTAAGTTAGCCTAACACATCACTTTATTTTGTGAATTAAGGAAATGTTTTTGGTTATTTCAGCATCCTGTTTGTAGAATCATGTACAGTATTACACAGGAATTTTAGTAAGAAAGATATTGTAGTGTTTAAGGTTTAGCTATTGGAATTAGAATCCATACTCCAACCAGAAAAAAAAAGTTTGCTTCACAGCACAGGATTGCATTTTGGGAAAATTTTGCATCTGCTTCCTCTGCATTAATTTTAAAAAATCATGCTGCTGATTATCTTTACTAATAAAGGGTTCTGCTCTGGTGTTTTTACATGGAAAATACTCCTGCTTCATATTTCTGCATCAGCTACATGGTAACAACTGAGAAATTTCATAGCAGGCTAGTTAATAGTAAATGTTTTGCAGGGTGAGCTTTTATTCTAGAAAAAAGAAGAGGTAGGAAAAAGAATTACTGAGTAGAAAACCCTGAATGTGAATTGGGAATAACCCATTTTGTTAAAGTCCTGATTTCTCATCCTCCAAGTTTACCTCATTACCACAAATGCTTATCACTGGCCATTGAGATTTACAAAGCTTACTTATAGGTTCCCTCCTTATTGTGAATGACAGTGGGTTATTACATGACAAACAAAACCTATCTTTAACAAAGGTTTTCATTTTGTTTTAAAGAAAGAAAAACATCATGTTTTTTCTTAACCTTTTCCATGCTTGTGAATAAAGCCTTACTTTATTTTTTTTTTGAGAATTTAAAGGAGAAGAAAACTGTGAATCTAGGCAAAAAGCAAGAACAGATCAGTCATCCTCCCCCAAACTGCCTTTTCTCTCATATTCCTATTTCAGGATATTACTTGTACCTCTGTTTCCTATTATCTATTTTCCCTGGCATCTGATAGTTTTGCATTTAGCCTGACTTTGAGGTTTTTTTCCTTCCTATAGACCTGAAAAGATGGCCAAACTTCCTGTTATTTTAGGAAATCTGGATGTTACAATTGATAATGTGTCACCAGATTTTCCAAGTAAGTATTAATAAACACTGTTAAATGGACATTCAGGCTTTTTCTTTTCAGTTTTTTAGTGTTTTTTAATGTATTTTCAGATTACGTTAACTCATCCTACATTCCCATGAAACAGTTTGAAAACAGTGCCAAGACACCAATAACATTTGAAGTAGAGGAATTTGTTCCCTGTATACCAAAACACACTCAGCCTTTCACCATCTACAACAACCACCTTTATGTTTATCCCAAGCACTTGAAATATGACAGTCAAAAGTCTTTTGCAAAGGTGAGTACAGGAGAACTGTATATTCTTCTTTCTCATGCTTGGTTAAGATTGTTTACATGTTATATTTCTATGATCAACCTTACGATTAAGTGTTTGGGTTTTTGTTTTTAAATACTGCTTTAGGCTAGAAATATTGCAGTATGCATTGAGTTCAAGGATTCTGATGAAGAGGATTCTTTGCCTTTAAAGGTTAGTCCTTTGAATTTTACGACTGGTAAAAGTAAATAGTGAACAGTTAGCTAAGTAACACAGTAGTACTGGATTCATTTGTCTAGTCTGGGATGGTGGCTTTCTGTCCTCCTTTCACGTTTGGCACAAAAGTAACTTCTAGATTACTTGCTTAGTTTTGATAGAAAAGATTACTAAAGAACCCTCAGAGTATATATACAAGGATATACTTACTGCAAACACGGGTGACTTATGCTTACCCCACAGGAGGAATTCTTTAAGTTAAACCAGTAAAGTTTTAGATCAACTGCAGAGCCAAGCTCTGTATTTGTTTATGAGCTACCACAGTGTATCAAGAGGCACCTGGAAGAAAAGAAGTAGAAAAATATATAGGAATCCTGAGGTGAAATCACAGTGTCAGCTCTACTGCACAGCAGGCAGACAACAGATCATGTAATCCACTGTCTGTGCAAAGAAACCAAGTTAAACACAAGTTAAAATATTTCCAATTCTAGGTGAAACAGATTCTAAGCTGAGAGTAATAAAGGATCACAGGAGTTTCCTTTGTTCTTTTTTCATTTTTTCTATTATTAGTGTATCTATGGTAGGCCAGGTGGACCAGTATTTACCAGAAGTGCGTTTGCTGCTGTTCTGCATCATCATCAAAATCCAGAGTTTTATGATGAGGTAAGCTACCTTTCTGAGGTAACTTTTACTGGTTTAGGTATTATGTGAGTTTCAAAAATACAAGAAAAGATTTTGGGATTGCAAAGTTCTTGGTAATTATTTCAGTTAAATCAGACCCCCCTTTTCACTGTAAGTAAATTTTTGTAAGTAATGTGTGCGTGATTCTTGGTCTTACTTCAAATAACATATAACCCGGAATTGCTTTTTAAGTGTGCAGCCAGTAAGGCATGTCACTGCTCTAGCTGAAGACTTCTACAAAGGTTGTGATTCTTTGCCTTTCAGATTAAAATAGAATTGCCCACTCAGTTACATGAGAAGCACCATTTGTTGTTCACCTTCTACCATGTCAGCTGTGATAATTCAAGCAAAGGGAGTACAAAGAAGAAAGATGTTGTTGAAACACAAGGTTTGTACATTAATGCTTCAGTTTCAGTAAATACTGGGGAGATTTTATGAAGTGTGCACATCTGGTAACCTGTGATTTTTTTGTGACCCATGTGATGCTTTCTAATTACGTTATACGGACTGAAAGATTTCACTAAGTATTTATTTCAATTTAAATGTTTCAAATGTTGTTTTAGAATGTCTATCAAATACATGTTGGGTTTTTTTCACACTCAGTGACAATTTATTTGCCTTTTTAATTGTTTCTAATCATTTTACTTCAAATCATTTGGCCCTAACAGTAACATTTTTAGTTTATGAATTTCATATCAGAAGTATACAGTAAGACTTTTGTAAGGGTTTACGTAATGATTCATAACATATTTAAAATTGCTTGCCTTTCATGTTCCTCAGTTGGGTATTCTTGGCTTCCTCTAATAAAAGATGGAAGAGTGGTGACCAGTGAGCAACACATCCCAGTGTCAGCAAATCTTCCCACAGGCTATCTTAGTTATCAAGAAGTGGGGGTTGGAAAGGTATGTTATAGAAAACTGCTCTAATCTTTCAAAAAAAAGATGTGGAGAGAAGTTTTGAATGTAATTCCCCAGTCTGATAAGATTTAAGTAATTTTCTAGGAGAATATTTTCCTTTTATAGTTGAAATTGAGTGTTTTCCAAAAGTTAGACACCTTAATTAAAGGAAACAAACCAAACCAAACAGAAAGTTTGGGAGACAAAAATTATGACTAAATTCTGACTTTTACAAGAATTTTAATCAACCTGCTCTAATACAGTTTTTTTTGTTTAAATACTTGTTATTATTTAGCTAATGTACTTAGGAAATGTTTAATTTTTTGTAGTAGTAATTAACTAGAAGTTACAGTAATTTTAAAATATATTATACTATTTTGAGTCTATGAAGATATGCAAATAATCTGAAGTCCTTTACTAAATTTTTTTTAGCATTTCATGCTGTCTCCTTTCAGTAAGTCCTTTATTCCTGAAAAAGTCTTATTCTCACATCTTGATTTTTGTGATCTTGATATTTCACTAGTAAAATTTATGATTGTATTTTTCAAACCAGAAAGCTTGCAAAATTGTAGTAATAAAATTGATACCAAGGAGGATACAAAATGTAAAATGTGACGGGGGATTTGACTAAGAGAATGAAATGCGGAGACAAAATTGACTCATTTGAGAGGAAGAGGCCTAAAATCAGCAGCAAGAGGTGCTGCTCTCCTCCTATGCTAGCACCTTTTATTTTTTAAACTTTGCTGTAAGCTTTCCAACCATCGTCTCTTTCACATCTTTCATCTTTTCACATTGTAGGTGTATTCTTTATGCCTCTGCTCTTTGTCTCTGCTCATGCCCATGGATAGAAGGTTAGGACCAATATGACTAATTGTAGACCTAGCAGTACAATCTCTCCCTAACTGGTTGTCAGGGTAGACAGCTGAGCATTCCCATTCTCGGTTCTTTGGACATGGGATGGGAAAGAAGCACTGGCTGCTAACTATTGGTGACCCATGTTAAAGTTTAAACTATGTCAGTATCTGTGGAAATTCTTATGTTATTTTTCTCAGAAAACTAGTAGATATTTCTCTCTAGTCAGAAGCTTCTTCACAGAGTTGTAAGGAAAACATGAAATTTGTGACTTATAAAAAAGTAATTTTGTTAGCCAGTGAGGAAACTACGGTGGGACTTTAAAAAAACCACAAAAACAAACAAACAAAAAAAAAACAAACTACAAACAAAAAAACCCAAACATATTTTAAGTTTCATAAATGCTTTTGGTAATGTTGCCTGCGTAATTTTCCTTTTTTAATGACTTTATTCATTGCACACATTTCTTCAACCTGTTTTCTTTAAAAAAGTGTTGTTTGTGGTACTATAAACAAGTTGTTTTAGTCTAGTATACCACTACATTATTTTACTTTTCTTCTGTATGTCTGTGTGCAGCATTCTGGTCCTGAAATTAAATGGGTAGATGGAGGCAAACAACTGTTAAAAATATCCACTCATCTGGTGTCAACTGTGTATACACAGGTGAGTTATAAAACAAATTAAATTAGAGAAAGTTTTAGGGATAATTCACATTTGTTATATGTATATATAATATTTGGGAACATTCTTAAACGCAGTATACTGATCTCTTACTTTTTTGTCTCTTGGACACTCTCCATGGTTACCTCTTTTTCACATCAGCTGTGAAAAACAGCAGATCTTAAATGGAAGGTATTAAAAATGTGGGCCTTTTGTCCAGCTTTGTCATCCATTACAGTCTGAATTTTCCTGTTAGATGAGAGGTCATAGTTGTCTGAAAGCTATTTACTGTAATTTCTATAAAGCAACAAGTCCTGTTATAACTGCTCATAAAACACATATTACAATCGGTTGGGATAACTAACATTAAATATGCTATTTTCTGCATGACAGGTGGTTTGAAGCAAATGTAGGCGGTGTTTTGTATAACAAGTATTCAAAAATCACTGGAAATTTCTTATGTGGGTTTAGAAAAATCAATGTTACATGTAGATTAAATTAGTCTTTGGACTAGTGCACTTCAATTATTTTTGAAAATTGAATCTATGGACGGATATCTGGATTTCTATATATAAATATTTTTAGTGTGTTCTGTTTTGGATTATGGATAGTAATGTTAGATATTGTTTAATTTGTTGTTCTATTTGTCTTTGACAGGACCAGCACTTGCATAATTTTTTTCAGTACTGTCAGAAAACAGAGTCTGGAGCTCGTGCACTAGGAACTGATCTTGTAAAATATCTTAAGGTATAAATTGGTAGTGAATAACAGATCGTATTATTTATTTATACTTTTGCAAAAACTGGGAGCTTCAGACATTTTCTAGGTCTCATTAATGGAATACACAGTATAAAAAGAAAAAAGATACTTCCTGCCCTAGATAAATTTAGAATTGCAATACAAGAGGAAACCATGAGGAAAGAATGAGACCATGTTGGTCAGCCTTGTGAGTGATAAGTGCAAATCCTCTGTCATCATGACACTTTTCAAACTAGAAAGTCCTTCTAACTGTATATATTTGGCTTGTGCCCTAAAGAAATTTCTCCAGTAGAGACAGAAGAAGAGAAGAACCACTGCTTCAGAGTGTTTCATCTTGCCTTCAGACCAAGGGGATTATTCGATCTTTCCCCAAGTAATCCTTCTGGGATATTGTGGTCCTGCTGTCTGAGATTTCTGTTTGAAGAAGTGAACCTCTTTACCTCTCGCTTCCTACTGTTTGTACTTTTCTGGCAAGGGATTTAAAGTTACTGGTGTTCAATTCCTCCAATGTTCTCTCAAAATACAAACAAAGGAATCATCCAGGTTTTTAGAAGTCCTACTCATAAAAGCCATTTTTCTTACTGGTGCAGCTTTGCCTTCTCATCCTCTGGTTATGGTTTTGAGATCAGTTGGGACACTGAACCTTTATAATTGGATTTAACCTCTTTTTTTTTTTCTCTCAGTATAATAAAGTTGGTATGTTCTGAGTACCTGTCATCATGAATTAGAGGTCTTAGAGTATGACCTGTAGCTCACTGAAGCTCTTTAAAATTGTCAGAATCATTTCCATCATTTTTTTCCAAGGCATGTAGCCTTCCTGCTACTTGAGGTGCCAGAGAAAATTGCAGATGTTTTCTGGTATCAAGAAGGGAAGGATTGTTGCCCATACTGGACTTCAGGGAACTGAATGTCTTTATTGATAAGTTCGGGTTAAAAAGCTTCTGTAATATAGAGGAGTTGGTCTGGGAAATAGTCAGGTGTTACATTAAATGAACCATTATTCCTAAAATCTCTGCATACATGACAAGTCTGAATCACTGCTATTAAAAAACTAGTTTACACACCATGGAGAGCCTCTTTACTAGGACCCAGGCAGCAGTGACTGTTCACATTATGAGGAATGGAACGACCCTGTACTTGTTGTGCAGTTAGTTGATTCTTACCTCAGGAGCTGAAGTTGTAAACAACCCTTCATCAGGTTCTAACATGTTTGATTCACTGAGATTCACAGTAGTTTGAGAAATCCCGCTGTTTCTTAAGTTTACCAGAGCTCTACTTGAATCTGATATAATCAAAATATCTTCCAGTGGCTAGCATGGCAATTTCAGATTTAACTTGCTACCTGCTGACCATCAAAAATGACAGTTGGCTGGAATCAAGGCCATGATTTTCCTCTTGATATTCGCAACTCTTGTTAGTGTAGTAGAACAAAGTGACCATCAGATATTAAAGTATCATTTTAGGGAAAGCTCAAAAGAACACTTCCTCAGATCACTCCCAAATCGCATAATTTACTTCAGTCATGTATGATCACATGTACTGTAATACGTTTGGGTAGCTTTTTCCTTTGCTTAAACACTTATTTATATTAATGCCACATAGGTTCAGTGACAAGACCATGTCTTGCCAAAATCCCAAAATATGGGACAGCATAATGCAACTGCAGAGCCTGTTTATAACTCTTGTTTGTTGTCGAACACCAGAACAGTCACCACACAGTATGAACATGTTGTACACCACTAGATTAACACATCTTATTGACTTTATTGCCTTGCTTCATAACAGAAGTAACAGTAAACAAATGCTGTCTTCTGTGTCAACTACAAATTATGGCTATTCTCAATTCCATTGGGCCAAATTCCTGTCTAGCTATGCCTCACAGGGACCCAAATACTTTTTACTTCTGTGTATTCAGAGCTTACCTTCTGTGTGTCAGCCTGTACCTAGCCGTGCCAGACTTGGCCAGCCTGAGTGCTAAATGTTCTTTAAAGATCAATGTTTCTGTTCACTGGTGACAGTTTTTTGCAGGTAAAGCCTATGCTATAATGACAATGACATATTTAAATATGTAGGATTTACTTTTCTCCATGAAGTCAGTGTGCTACTGGCAGAGTAGCTGGGGTACTGAACCTGACAAGTGTTCTCCTGTTCTCTCTTTGTTCTGCTCTTGCCCTCCCTAACAGGATTGTGTGTAAGCACCATCTGACACTTCTAATTAAAGGTTTTCTGAGACTAACAGAGTCACAGAATGTTAGAGATTGGAA